GGTCTTCTTTTTCCCGTCCGTCACTGAGTTATGTCCATGCCCTATTTTTGCTTCAAGGTCTAGGGCTACCTTGCTAAACGAAGGAAAGTTGTGCATATTGATGTTGGCCTCTTTTGCCAACTGGTTCCTGAGAGGCTGGGATAAGCACCTCAAGTACGAAGTCAACAGGACTTGGGGTTCATAACGCACCCCTGGAACACAGATCAGACGCTCTACAGCATCTGTGGCTTCCCTTACTGACTTAAACTGCCTAGTGTGCAGTGTCAGGATCGCATTTGTGGTCTTTTGGGCCTCCTGAGGATCATGCCATCTTTCTTCCACCATCTTAAGGAAGTCCTCCAATTTTTGAGAGGTTGCCCAAGAGCGGAAGTCATGACCGTGCCCCTGGAGTTGTACTAACCCACTCAACCATCTTGCTGCACTACCCTCTAGGTAGGATGCAGCCACAAGCACTTCTTCGTGTGGCAAGGTGAGTTTACACCTGACATAGACCGGCACTGCCCTCAACCAAGTGTCGAGGTCTTCGCCTCTCTTGTCCCCTGTAAAGGGTTTGGGAGCGGCGATGGCCGTCTTTGGAACCCACTGACTTTGTCCCGGTCCCTGCACCAACCCGGGCTGTGGACCCGGTGATACAGGTTGTTGTGCTAGCTGCTGGGGTTGTGTGCCCTGTGGCTGCACAGACTGCGAGACAATAAATTGCCCACTAATGGCAACCTGTGACGGAACCTGGGTGACCACTGACTGTACTGGAACCTGGGTGACCACTGACTGTACTGGAACCTGAACACTAGGACCTGCTGATAGCCCTCCTGAGAGCGGCATGCCCAGGGAAACGACAGCAACCGTCGACGGGGCTACAAATGGGGATACCCTAGTGACCGGTGGGACAGAAAAGGGAGGATATGGCACACGCCAGGCACCCGGCCCTGCCGGTGATGGCGCTGCCTGAGAACGCCCTACCAAAATGGCTAGGCTCTGCTGGATGTCATGAAGTATGGTAGTCTGATGCTCTTGTATCTCTATTACCCCTAGCAGGGCCCTCCTAACTACCCTCACGTCATCATCCATGTTCGTCAGGTCCATTGTTTCTAACTCCTCTATGTCTGCCCCTCTTTGTTGCATCTTGGTTCTTCTTTTAATCATCATTTCCTTCTCTCTTTTTATCTGTCCTAATGCCTGCTGTAGCTGTGCCTCTTGCAGGGCTGCCTGCTGGATGGCGACATCCTCTGGGGTCAACACTGCGGGCTGGCTTGCCATTAAGCCAGTGGACTGACTCACGGTCTGCGCGACCATGGACCCGACGGTACCTGAACTACCGGCTTGGGAAGTCTGCTGCGCAGACGTGCTCATGGCTGTGGTAGCCATGGCTGCTGTAGCACCGGCCTCGCTAGCTAATGCCCTGCTGGCCTCGGCTGCTCTAGCTCTCCTTTGCTGCTGCCTCTCCCTCTGCCGGCAGAACAGTTCCCTATCACCCTCCGGTCCTAGGGACACGTGAGTTATCGGGCCTCGAACTGATCGCAAGATCCTGCGGTCGTCCTCTCTGGTGTCCTCTCTGCCGCTCATAGGCTACAACACTATGCACCGTCTACACTAGATCATACAAGATACCTACCGCAGCATAGTGCACAAACCAACTAATTAATGGTGGCTACTTTTGGAACAGATCTCATTTGGGGTCAGCAGATAATTGAGATTGCTACAACTGAAACTATTTTTAGTATGACTAGTCTGCAAACAGAAGCACCAGTTCTAACTAATGCTGTCTGTCAAATGTCAATGGCAGTCCATTTAACTAATCAAAACATAAAAATAGAATCACTTGTGTGGATAGGACAGCATGGTATTTTCTCGAACTTGTCACCTGGAATCAACCCCTCCCTCCAATCTACACTTGAGTATCTCTTGCCGTCAGCGTCCTGAGCAATCGGGTAGCATGCGTGACTGAAGGTGTGCAATCCGGTCCCACCCCTGTGCCCCAGGTTATCGTCGAGCAAGGCAGCCACAACACTCTTATTTATCCTCGTACGCCGACGAGCCTTACACTCGGTTGATCTGGCTGATGAAGAGGCAATTTAACGTCCGCCCCCAAGTGACATCAGGAATTATTTTACGTCGCAACAGGACGACGATCACAGCCAGATTCAGAGTTGAGTCCCCAACCAGAAATGTTTATAGACGGTCTGGTAAGCGTCTTAAGAGGCTGCCACACCCGAGTTAACCTCTATCTGCGCAAGCAGCAGAACCAAAGACTTGCAGCGAAGCATGCGTGTACGACACCCAGTGGGTTGGCATGGTGACTGTGACCCAGTGCTTCGTCCAGGGCCCTTCAGAAAGCAACGCCCCCTTCCCCTTGATGCTCCACAGGAAGTATGCCGACTCTCAAGGTTGAGCGCACTCGACACCTCACGATGAGAGGACTCTCAAGTTGGATCACACAACCTCACAGTAAGAAGTGTTGGAGAGGGTAGATAAGGTTGGGAGTAACATACCTCAATATTGCTGCCCCCAACCACAGAGAAAATATCACCAGATGACCCAATGGCAATTGCGATGACCAGTCACTGCATCGGCACAACCAGCATTATCCGCCGTTCCACCTCAGCATCAATCGCACATTAGATAGTTCTCATCATACTGTCCAGACCACTTACACTTCACATAGCCTTCCTGGCGATTCCCCTCACCTCCTGGGTCGCCACACACTCGTCTCCACCCTCCTCACTACACACCACTTACGGCCAAGCTCACCCAGCAGACCGCATGTATGTACCGTATAAGGCAGAAGACAAGCGCCAGATGAGCGCAATCGTACCACAGCTCCGATACCAAATTGCAAGGAAGATGAGCATTAGCAAACTCCATCAATCAAACAGCATCATACATATGAGTCCAGATAGTCTTGACCTCGAACCAACAGCAGAAATGCATCACGAGATTCACCAAATAAGA